CCCAAAGGTATTCACAGAATTCATGTTATTTTATTTGTGATACTGGAGAGAGAGAGAGAGAGAGAGAGAGAGAGAGTTATAAAACTATCTGCGATTTAATACAATATATGAGAGGAAAAATATTTTCATTATATACTTATGATTAGTGGAGAGAAGAGAGTTATACTCGAGAAATAAAAAAGAGAAAAAACATTAACTACTCCTTAACACCACTATCTCTCCCTTTCTCTCCCTCTCTCTCCCATTTATTGTCCACTGAGTTATGACCGCTAGTTCTCTCTCTCTCTCTCTCTCTCTCTCTCTCTCTTTCTTCTCTCTCTCTCTCCCTCTCTTTCCAGCCCTTTCATATCGAGTATAAGTAGTTGTATAATAATGTATAAAGTTATGTTTTGGAGTACAAAACCCTTATGGTTGAGACATCGCTCTCTCTCTCTCTCTCTCTCTCTCTCTCTCTCTCTCTCATGAGATTAAATCCAAATATATTTTATAAAATTAGATACTTTTACATTGTAATAATAGTTGTAACATCATTAATAAATATAACTATAGTTATTATTTAATTAACTAGGGTTCAGGGGTCAGTGGTATTAACATTTTATATAATAACTGGTGTATCGATGGATACCCTGTATTGTGTGAACACTGTATATGCAATATATTTGTAATTTTCCTAATGTTAACCCCAAGGGGTGTATTGAATGAGAAGCAAAAATAAAAAGGTTTTATTCTTATGTCTCTCTTCTCAAAGTCAAAGAATACATTAAATAATTGCTTTGCAATCAGTGCTCAAGATATCGATTTTGCTCTCTCTCTCTCTCTCTCTCTCTCATATCTCTCTCTCTCTCTCTCTCTCTCTCTCTCATTCTACAGCCATTTCATATGGAGTATAAGTAGTTGTATAATAATGTATAAAGTTATGTTTTGGAGTACAAAACCCTTATGGTTAAGACATTCCTCTCTCTCTCTCTCTCTCTCTCTCTCTCTCAAAATTTTGTTCATTAAGACGGGGAGTAAATTATAATAGCGTTCATTGGACTGTGAATTACTTGTGTCGTACGCTATTAAACACTAAATCAGTGTTCACTCGATAATACACACCAACACATCATTGTTTCATCGGTCCTACACTTTAGAGCCAAACAGTTAACTATGAGAGAGAGAGAGAGAGAGAGAGAGAGAGAATTTTGATAGTTTGCATATTATCATAAATTTATGACGATAAAAAATTTTCATTTGTTATCGATTGTCTGTAAAATATTATAGAAATTAAAAATAGAAATTATAATATAAATTTTTATTTTTTATTATATAAATGCGAAACTCATAGATATCTCTTATACTGCTTTCATAGAAATATATTGTTAGCATTGAAAATAATTGTACAATGTAAAGAAGTACACGTTGGCTTTTTAAAAACAAATTAAAAATATTAAATTATTGATTTGTATTATTATATTTATTAAAATCTTTTATATTAAAATCTAAAATCAATTATATTTCAATTATATAAAACAAAATTCGTTTAACAAAAAATAATCAGAAATACTATGACTTTAATGATTAAAACGTCAGAAAACAATGATTGAATATATTGTGTTATTAATAATAACTTTCTAATATAAAGTATGCAATAACATATTATTAAAGCAACGGGGTAGCTTTAATTCACATAAAATAATATACATTAAATTAATATAAGATACTGTAGTTGTGCATAATAACTTTGTTATTTAATTATTGATACTGTATAAATAACATAATAACTTATAGTCCATTCTCAGTTTGAGTAGAATTAATGTTGGCTGTTTATAATTGTAATGCACATGTATCAAGTATATGTATTAATCATTATTATTATTAATGTACCATGTTTACAATCAGATGTAATTACGGGCCATAACACTTCATATATTAACGTAAATGTATTGTCAGTATGTATTTTACTTGCAATTAAGGTAAATTTTGTTTATCTAATTATTTATATTTTAATAATTATCACCAGAAAATGAATACAAATTGTATTCGATGGACGAGCAAGGGTGATTTTATTTTTCATAACCCCAATCTCAACCACTATCATATACAGCATATATTGTGTCATATGAGGATAGCTGTGTTTCATTCACAGGTTGTATTGTACACTATGTTTCTACCTTGTCATTATGTAACAGGGTTTATTATGTTTAATATGAATTCTAAAAACAAATAAGCTTATTCTAACATTTATTTGAGCAAAGATTCACCAGATCAATACGACTATGTATGAGATGTGCGATGAGTTTGCCGTTATTATTGAGTTATTAATTAAATATGTTAAATGCAGGTATTTGTTAAAATAATAGTATTAACATGTAACGTAAATCAAATAAACAAGACTAATTTTCCAAATGTGATTAAAAAATCAGAAATTTATAATAATTTTTATCCTAACAAAGCATAGAGTTTGTGATACCGAGTGAAAAAATAATAGTATTAACATGTAACGTAAATCAAATAAACAAGACTAATTTTCCAAATGTGATTAAAAAATCAGACATTTATAATATTTTTTATCCTAACAAAGCATAGAGTTTGTGATACCGAGCGAAGAAGTGGGTGGAGTTAAACTGCCCGACGGTAACTGGACGGGCATTATAAAGGATATGGTTGAGAATGTTGGTCATTTTAATAAATAATCTTAACAATGCAAATTACATAGTTACATAGACCGAGTGAAGAAGTGGGTGGAGTTAAACTGCCCGACGGTAACTGGACGGGCATTATAAAGGATATGGTTGAGAATGTTGGTCATTTTAATAAATAATCTTAACAATGCAAATTACATAGTTACATAGTTTAACTTATATTATGTATATGTTCTAGAAAGTAGATATGTGTGGCTCGTATATGCTTTATACAAACGATCGTTTAACTATTGGCGAGTCCCTATACCCGGGTCGGATTGGCAACCAATTAACAATATTGTCAGGCGAGGTTTATCCATCGGACAAGTTGACCTTGTTTAGTTCATTCGCCACAAGCATGTGGCTTGCCATACTAGCCATGTTTATCTTATGCACAATTATGGCAATATACAGCTCGTATAGTAAATTCGGGACACAATTTAGACAAAAGTTTAGACTTACGGAATGTGCATCATGTGTAATACTTGATCATTTACTGGTTTTGGTCGGCAAATGTAAGCTAGGTTATTTTGTTAACATTACAAGGTATTTGTTTATAAAACTTAAAAATAAATTTTAGCTGTAATAAGTAAATACTTGCGCCACGGTGGATTTATCGGTAAACTGGGTTACGCTATCTGGTTTGCTAATAGTTTTGTTTGGTGTCAGTTGTTTGTGGGAATGTTTCTATCAAATCTGGCCACACTGTCCACCACTAACATTGATAGCATGCGAGCGCTATTACACGCCAACCGACCACTTACTGTGTTTATGGAAATGGAGAGTTACATTTATAATTATTATCTTAAGGTAACTTTAATTTTAATCCAAACATATAATGTAATTTTATGTAATAATGTAATAATGATAAATTAATTTTAATATCATTAATAAATTGACTAGAAAAAGTATCCGCGTTTAAACTACAAACCTTGTATGTTATACGAATTGAACACGCTAAAATTTTTAAAACCAATATTGTCCGGACGGTCGGTGTTAATACATGACGAGCCAGTGATTGACGAGATACTAGTGATGAACCCATGGCTACCTCTTCACAGGTCCAGCCGTAAGTCGGTGTTAGGTGTGGCCGGTATTGTCGTACGGAAAGCAATGAATTTACACTTTAAGCAATTGTTTAAACAAAAGTATACAGTATTTGTTTGCATAGTTATATTGTGATAGTTTATTTTAACTAATACATTATATTTTATTGTTATTTTTAATACCAGGTTGAGTGTTATCTACGAGTCGGGTGTGCTATTATGGCGAACTAGAGTTAACAAGATTATAGCCCGTAGTGAGGAGAGAATGCTGTTTATGGACAGATATCCCATCAGAATTGAATACGACGAGAAAAATAATAAATTCCGCAAATTAACCCTGGTAGAGATGAAATTGTTTTTCTTGATTTACTTTATTAACCTACTTTTGGCAACAATTGCGTTGTTTTTCGAGATTATTTATCATTATATTTTTCGTAAACAATAGTTAGACATAAAATATTCTGTTTTATTATAACATTATATAATTACATAAATATGTAATTATAAAAATTTACAAAGAGATACGTCATGTAATAATATTTATATTATATTATAATATTACAATAATTGAACATGTAGCTTTCTTTAAATGTAATATATATTTTCTCTAAATTTTCATTGCTTTATACAATTGTAATTTTAATTTTAGTTTATGGCAAAATATTGTGTTTTTATGCCATCCTAATAATATTTAATGTTATATCTATAAATGTAGAGATATAAAATATATTTCCATCAAAAATTAATTTAAATTACTATTACATAACTTTATGTTACGCTTATAGACCTATCATACAATAATTTCAAAACATTTAAATATGTAAACAATTAAACATGTAGAACATTCCTATATGGAAAAATATTACGTACCTGTTAAATATATTAATTTAATTTATTAAAATGTTTGCTTTAATAACTAAATGAAATATTACATACAAAATTATACATTTTATTTTATAATTGAATTGAACAGAAATTTATTTTTGTTTTATGGTTTATTAATTTTGGGCTTATTTTTAGAGATAAAATGTATTTAGTATTTATTTTATGTTGCAATTAGACGTAAATATTCAAATATGAATATATCATATCTTTCTACATAAATAATTAATTTTAAACAATAATGCAAATTAGTATTACAAAACATTTTGTAACGCTTATAACTCTATCATAAAAGTAGTAGCGTATATTGATTTTGTTGTTTAATACTTTTTACACATTTAAATATTATAATCATTATTATTGTATAATATTATATTTTGAATTTGGTAAACTAAACAATATTTTTGTAATTTTAATTTATGCTGTTGTAGTATAATATAATAATTACTAGATAGATAAAATAATAGAATATTAATTGGCATTAAGCATATCTTATTATATTACTATTATCTTATTATATCTTATTATTCTTATTATATTATATTATATTATATTAGTATATCAATAGTTCAATCTGTTTACTGAAATACTTTTTGTAGTATGTGCTAGACAAACATTTAATTACTAGTTTATTTAGTATTTAGTATATTTACACAAATTAGTGCAAATAAATAATTAAATTTATAAGAATTAATCTTATTTAATTGTATATTTGTAAATTTAATAAAAATCTTTAAAATCATCATGCATAAAAGTTGTATTAGAATGACAAATAAAGGAAAGTTAATTTATAATGAAAATGGTGATCATAATAATAACATCACATGTCATATAAGAGTGGCAATATTTCATTCAATGGTAATGTTTATTTCTAATAAAATTACTAAACTATTTATAATGTGTTTTGATTAATGATTATTTATTGGAATTATTAGATTATTTTATAATTAATATTATAATTTCTAACTAGATAAAATTAGTGAGTAACAAAGTTTATGAATTGTGTGACGAGTTTGCTCTTATTTGCGAGATATTATTTAAATATGTGAAATGCAGGTATTATCAACAATTTAAATTTATTGTAATTAAAAATAAATTGATTCACAAATAGTTGATTGTATTTTAGTGTATCATTTGTATTTCCCCATGATGAAGTTGGTGGAGTTAAACTGGATAACGGTGCATATACCGGTATTTTAGGTCAATTGCATGCAAATGTAGGTAGCTCAACATTTTATTAAATCACTATTAACAAATTAACTAGATTAAATTATTGAATATCTAGACATCTGATATGTGTGGCTCATATATGCTGTTGACAAATGACAGGCTGAAAGTGATCGAGCCGTTATACCCGGGTCTAGTAGGATACCAGATTACCATATTAGCAGCCCAAATGTATCCGGCTAATCGATTGACAATGTTTGATGCATTTGCAATTGACACGTGGTGTATGATTGTATTATGTTTATTAGTTGGCGTTACAATCACCGCATACATGGCGTATAAGAAATATGGTGAACCCTGGCGCAAACTACACTGGGTCACTGATATCACCGAATGTGTTCTACTTGATTACATTTTGGTATTTATTGGAAGATGTAAGCTTAGTCATTTATTATTTGTTTACACACTATAACATGAAAACTACAAATAAAATGTACTTCCAGCCGCTGTTAGTAAATATGTAAAGCAATCTGGTACAATTAGTACTATTATATACGCTATATGGATTGCAAATAGTTTTATTTGGTACCAGTTATTTGTGAATGATGGTTTAGCCGATCTGGCATCAATGCCTTCGTTTACTATTGACAGTTTAGATGAGATAGTGAACGCGGACCGGGAGTTGACCGTGCTCATGGAGCCTACGAATTATGTTTACAATTATTATCTAAAGGTAATATGATTTTCGAAATTGTTATGAATAAATAAAAATAAAATAATCACTAATTAGATTTAGCTGCAAGTTTAATGCAACATTATTTTATTTAATCTAGTATAAAGTATAATTGAAGAAATGTTGCAATAGTTTAGTATTGATTAGTATTCTGCACTTATCTATTCTGCATTTTATAATTCAGTGTTTTACTTAATTTCTCAATTATAATTTAGTCAATTAAGATTTAAAATATTTTTATTTAAATACTTAATATTTAATTTACACTATTTATTTAATTTACACAGATTAAGTACCCTGACTTAAATTACGAGTTATTTAGAACGACCGAGATGAACGATATGAGTTTTCTGGATCCAATAATAGCCGGCGACCACGTGTTAATACATGACGAGGCAGTTATTGATGAAATCATAGGTCTGAGCCCGTGGTTACCCCTCCATATCGCCGACCAAAAGACAATGTTAGGCGTAAGCGGTGTTGTAGTGCGCAAGGGATGGCAGCCCGATATTAAGCAAAAGTTTAAAACAATGTAAACTTAATAAGCTATATAATTATTTTACTATTAAACACTGTGTTACTCTCTACCAGGCTAACAATGATCCACGAGTCGGGTGCGTTGCTATGGCGTACGAGAGTTAACAAGATCATAGAACGTGATATATATCCGGATGATGCGAACTATAAGCCCAGAGACGATGCGAATACATTTAATAAACTTACCATAACTGATATCAAGTTATTCATCCAGCTTTGGTTTGCAAAGTTAACTCTCGCTTTATTTGTGTGGATTCTGGAAATAATTGTGTTTATGTGCACACATTCGCGAATGGTAAGTATTTTTAAATAGATTTTTTTTACTAATTTATAATGACAATTTTTATTTAGAAATCACCCTGGTATTTCTGGTATTAAACATTTGCGTCTGATTTATAAAAGTATCTTTAATTATTTTTTAAATACAATCAAATCACTATATTTTATTTAACAAATTATTAATTTAACGATTACTAATTTTATAATCGATAAATTACTCGTTACAATAATAATATATAATTTACTGAATGCAGTACTTTTAATTTATAATCAAAACTATATGACGGTATAATTGTATTTGATAAACATGTTTATAATAATTATAATAATTGATGTGATTTTAAATTAAAAGTACTGCATTCAGTAAATTATAAATTATTTATATGACTTATTAATGCTTATTTTAGACATAGAGCAATTATATTTAAAACTTCAAAATAAAATTGTTATCTAAAAATTATATTTAAAAACAAGTCATTTATTTATTGTAATTTAAATCTTGTTATTTAATTATAAATACTTTTTAAAGCAATTATCAATATGCTATTAGATATTTAATTTGATATAATTTCTGGTAGTAATGAAATCGATATAATTCATTATGTAAAGTTAATAATACATAAAATTGATTTTATTATCATAACATAAATTAATAAACAAAATGTTAACAGAGATTGTTATAGTGTTTGGAGTGTTATATTTAAAGCATAAATGTTATAATATATATTTTATTTGAACAAATGATCATGGTACAATTATATGTGGAGAATGGGCATGTAAAATACAATCGAGAAATTTCAATTCAAACAATTTATTGTAGCTGGATTTTGTCTTCAAAATGTTCCTGTTGTTCAATACTCTGGTATGTTATTTGATGGCCAGCTTTCAAAAATATCTGATAAGACAGTATAGATGCCAAACACATGATGGTTAAGTGTATTAGCATTGGTATTATGAAATGCGGGTATATTTCCACCACAAAACACAGACCAAATTCAAACAACATAACAACGTTGAAAGTAATGAGGCAACGATTATGGTGCTCAAATGCACCTTTCATACCACATAGGGTAAACATGAGCTGTATCTGAAATATAAATTAACTAGATTCTTATTTTATTTACATAATTTTATCAGGCTAATTAATTATATTATAAACAGTGTAAGATTATTTATATAAATTTTTGTAACACTTACTCCAATGGCTAGAGTTAAGACATAGCCAGTATATTTGTGATCAAATTTGCCTTTCATTGCCATCCATAGTGTAATGAATAATGAAGCTATAAATATGAATAATATGATGGTAAGTGCTATAATGACCAAAAATTTTAACACAATAAATGAGATGTTTAAACGTGGTTGCGAGGGCGGTCTAATAACATCTAGGGACATTTTAGCCTAAATGTGAAATACTCAATTTATTATAAACTAAATGCTTATATTATGTATAGCACAGTATTTGTAAGTCAAATATGGTTTTATAACGGTTATTACTTATTACTGTAATTTAATCTCATTTAATTAATTATTCAACATAGTAACAAACTTGTAAATTTTCTATGCAATGATGTATACAATATGTTTGAATAAAGCGCTTAAATCATTACGTGTTTGAAAAATTTTCAAAACCTTTACCGTTAATAACGCAGGCGCTGTATATTTATGGCATATGCAATAGTATACAATCAACCCCCAATATATATACACTAACATTGAATTTAGTGTATTTAACGCCATGTACAATATACAGTAAGATTATCTTGATAAATATTATTAATCCTATCATCCTATAAGTAACAACTACTTTATTACTCATGATTAAATGAAAAACAATTTAAAACCAAACACACGACTATATACCGGGAGTTGTAGTGTATCTGTGGATAACATTTGGCGCTTAAAAGCATAACAAAACAGAGAAAAGTGAAGTGAAAACGAAATCATTTGTGTTTCACTTGTCATTCAATTCAGATCTCAATTCACACAACATTTTAATCGCAATTGAATTGTATTTTTCAATACAATCTCACCATTAAGTCAGTCAACCAGTTATGGCCATTACGAGTACCCCCGAGACGGCCGCCGTCGGCACCAACAGCACCGCCACCGCCGCCGCCGCCGCCAAGACTACTGCCACCAACACTACCGCCGCCACTAACGGAACCGCTGGATCAGTTGATAGACCGGTGGCCGCGGCGGGCAATGGTCTGCCGTTGGGAGCGATGTATGTGGTGAAGAGGGACGGCCGCCACGAGTCCATAATGTTTGATAAGATCACCTCAAGAATCGTGAAACTGAGCTACGAGTTGGACATGCGTTTCGTGGACCCGACGGCCATCACGTTGAAAGTGATCGCCGGTCTCTATTCGGGCGTCACTACTGTCCAGTTGGATGAGTTGGCCGCAGAGATCGCCGCCACGATGACCACCAAACACGCCGATTACGCCAAACTCGCCGCCCGTATAGCCGTCTCTAATCTCCACAAAGAGACGACGAAGAACTTCTCGGACGTGATCCGAG